CAGAAAAAACCCTTTTAGTTGTCCGTTTTCCTTCATCAAAAAAACCCCCTAAAATCCTCTCACTTTTTTCACCTCCTTCCCCACAGGTTTTTCCCCCCAACAAAACGGAATCATTGTCTCTGGTAATGGGTTTTGTTTATAACACGCCGTTTATTTTCCCCCTCACAGATTAAAATTGGTGGGGTGTCTCTCGCTGCTCACCACCATCACCACCAAATGAACTTATCATTATCTCCCATTACACTTGGCATCATCTCATTCGTCAAGTTCTTTCCTTTCTCAACATTCCATTCTATATCTATATATATATATAAACCCCTTTACTTGTTTTCTTTGATCCATCATAAGGTGGTGGGTGTTGGTAATAGTGTAGAGATGATTGAGGTTAGGGCATGCGGAGAGCTTTAATTTTGTGTTGTGGGGATGAATTTGATGCAGTAATTTACCGTCCGTCACGATGATGGAGTCCATGGAGTTGTCGTGTGTTCCGCCTGGGTTTCGATTTCATCCGACCGATGAAGAGCTCGTTGGATATTATCTAAGGAAGAAGGTAGCTTCACAAAAGATTGATCTTGATGTCATCAAAGATATCGATCTTTACAGGATCGAGCCCTGGGATCTTCAAGGTATACTCTTTTTTATTAGGGTTTTTTTTTTTTACCCTAAATCTTTTTAATGATCTGAGAGTTATGTTGTAATGGGCAGAGAAATGTTGGATTGGTTATGAAGAGCAAAATGAGTGGTACTTCTTTAGTCATAAGGACAAGAAATATCCGACCGGGACGAGGACGAATAGGGCTACATTGGCCGGGTTTTGGAAGGCGACTGGGAGAGACAAGGCAGTTTATGACAAGAATAAGCTCATTGGAATGAGAAAAACCCTCGTTTTTTATCGAGGACGAGCCCCGAACGGGCAAAAGACTGATTGGATCATGCACGAGTACAGATTAGAATCGGATGAAAACGGCCCTCCACAGGCAAACTCTTTTACTTTTATTTTTCTTCATCTATATTTCTCAATCATGCATGCTAAGTAGACTTCATTGAGTCCTGTCTTCTCTCTCTTTCTTTTTGTAATTTGTGTAAGATTGACAAAAGGGATTAAAAATGCTATTTTGAGTGGTAAAAATTTATCTTTTTGTTCATCATTTTAACTTTATCCAGACAAAATGATCTATATATGTCAAATTAACCTCATGAGTTGAGCTTCATGAACATGAAGAACTTATGACTTTTACTGCTTTAAAATGCGTGGAAAAATGACAAAAAAGTGAGGGAAATGGGACAACTTTTACTTTCCATAATTAGTCCACTAAATTGTACAGTTTTAACAGATGACACCCACCAAACCTCTAAGTCAAAAGCTGATACTTACAAAGGCATATAATTGTCGTGTTTGAATTTATGTTCTTTCCATCCTTCCTGTTTGTCAATCATCTTTGACTTTTTTTTTCTATTTTCATCACTTTACCAGACACCCATAAAGAGTATCAATTTGTGATTAGGGTTTTGGCTTATTTGGTTTTTTTTTTCTTTTTTTCTTTTGGTAGGAAGAAGGATGGGTGGTGTGTAGGGCATTCAAGAAGCGAGCGAATGGACAATCGAAGACCACAGTCGAGCAGTGGGATTCGAGCTATTTCTATGACGAACCGAGCCGGGTCTGCTCGGGAATCGATCCGCTCGAGTTCATGTCGAGGCAGTCGATGCCACAAGGGTTGTTAGAGCACAATAACATGATGTGTAAGCAAGAGATAGAAGGTGAGAATGTGAAGTTGATAGCATATAATGATCCATTTGTACAACTTCCACAGCTTGAGAGCCCATCTCTTCCATTAATGAAAAGATCAAGCTCCATATCTTTGGTGTCGGAATGCAATGAAGAAGAAGAGCCACCGACAAAAAGAAGGTACGATGATAATAATAATAATAATAATAATAGGAGCTCAAAGGTGACGGATTGGAGGGCATTGGACAAGTTTGTGGCTTCTCAATTGAGTCAAGAAGATGCATTTGAAGGCGAAGGAGATTCGAGGTTTGGAGCACAAAATAATAACTATAATAATAATAACAATCATCATTCAGCGGACATGGCCATATTATTGATGGAGAATAGAGGGCATGATGAAGAGGACTTATACAAAGGGTTCTTGAGTTCGAACCCGGAGTCTGATTTTGGGATTTGCATATTTGAGAAATGAAGATGATTATTTGGGGGAGTTCTTGTCGGATAATATTTTTAATATATGTGTTCTTACGAGGGTTATTATCGATCTTGGGATCATATCTCTATAATGTATTTTTGTATGATATGGTTGTGAATGAGTGAAGAAAAAAACTCTTTCTCTCTCTCTTAATCTCTCTCTCTCGACTCAAACTAAATGAGCTTTATATATAGTCGATCGAGAGAGGTATCATTCTCTCGACGTCGTATAATATGATGTCGAGAGACAAGTGTCTTTAATGATGTCGTTCTTACGGTAGCAATAAAGATATCAAATCAAAAACTCAAATGCTTAAGTTAATGGGTTATGGTAAATTTAATTATATCAACACTTTCACACTCAGTTTTCACTTTGGGATTACGTATCTCTCCCGATGATGCAACAACGAGATCTCTCTTGATCTTTGTTGGATGTGCTTTAGGACCTCCTCTTCTGATACCGTGTTAAAATATCAATTAATCTAGAAGTTTAAGCGTACGGGTTATGATAAAAGAGAGGAAAAGGCCATGCATTTTTGTGTTGGAAGGAGGGAAAAAGGAGAATGTGTAAAAGGCTATGAGTTTAAAGGTGAAAGAAATGGTTGAAGGCTCACCCTTTGTGTTCTCGGCGGTGTTTTTGGTGGGCCAAATGCTTGTCTAGCGTGCTCCTTTGCTTATATACCGTATCCCTTTCATAGCCATGCTTCTCTTCTCGCACACCCTTTTTCACCTTCGCCCCCACTTTGTCAAATCAATTCAACCTCGCCCATGTCGAGTTTGAAAAACACTACAAAGATAACTGAGCTTTTAAAGAGAAACTTGATGGCTTATCATATTGCATAAAAGGAGACACAGGAAGAGAGGTAGGTGGCGACTGCTGCATGGTTTTGTGTGTGTCTGTAAAACAAAGAAAGAAAGAAAGAAAGACAGACAACTTTTGTTAGGAGCAGTTAAGTTTGAGGTCGGCAGGTTGTGTCGGAGGGCGGTTCCTGAATGGACAAAAACGCATGTCTTACGTTGTCCTTTTTCCATTCTTGAGTGGGCTGAAATGGTCCCTATAGGCTAAGCCTAATTCCCCTCTCTCCCCTTTTTTGGTATTCCAACACTCTACAAAAACACATCCCTTTATTCCTCTTTTTATTCTTTTCTTTTTCTTTAACTTTCTCTCCATATTTCTCATGAATATCTTCAGTTTCTTGCATGTCTTTCTTTCACTACTACGTTAACTTCTTAAACCAATATGATCCCTTTCTCTCGAGAAAATTAGATTCGAACGACGGTTTCTAACAACCACAATATTCCCTGCAAATTCTTTCGACATCTTCTTATATCCACATAAACATGCATAGAATTGCTATAAACTATATCTTGCATAACCTCAATTGTGACACTCGAGTAAAGAAGGCGCACATGAACAAATCGAGATAGGATTCAAAGTTACTACTTATATCAACCATGTGCACTTTCTTTTCCAGAGGCTCAATCGTAAGAACTTTAATGTTAAGCGTGTTTTGCTTTGAGCAATTTTATGTTTGATCACCTCCAGGAAATTTTCTTAGAAAGCATGTGAGTGAGGACAATAAATTAGAAGCGGGAACTAAATAGCGTGACCATGTTGCAGGAAAATGTCAGGGAATGCAGTGTTTGTTTACTCAAGTATCGTTCACCTAGATTAAGATAAGCCCAAATCATAATTCATATACAAGATGCAATATTGATTCGACGAACACATTAACCGCTAAGAGTTAGAATGGAACGAGATTCATTTGAAACCGAACGACGTAGCACGGAAAAGAAACCGGGTAGGTTTGCTACATTTGTATAAGCTATAGCTTGAAAGTACGTTATTGAGGGGGTGAGGGGAGGTGATCATAAAAGTGGTGAGCTCTATGGTTTGGTGACTGTGAATTAAAGGAAACAAGAAAAAGAAAGAAGCAATGAGTATATGAGTTGACAAAAACGAGAGGCTTTGGGACAATGTCTTTGGAGAGCAATGATTTGGTGATGGCACGCAACCACACCTCTCTTTTTAACTTCTAGCCCTTTTCATGCAACCATGTGACAGATAGGAACGGATCAAATGAAAATGGACAATAGTGAATTTGAGCTATTACAAATCATATTAGAATTAGTTATCGGACGGTGCGAGATCCTAGTCAGAGTAGAGCTAGACCCTTTTTATAGTAGACATGTTTAAAACCGTGAGACTAACGACAATACGTAACGGGTCAAAACAGACAATATCTACTAGCGATGAACTTGAACTGTTATAGAATGGAAAATCTTTTGAACTAATAAAATTTTTTGAATGGGTTGAGTGGGTGACCTTAGTAACCTGAGTAGAGTTCATAACGATGACCTGCTTCGGTTACAAATGTCAAACACTCTCAATCTTCCTAATGATTTTAAAAGTACGGTTAGATTGGGTTGTAACCTTATTTTTTAGTTGGTCAGATCAACCTAAGAATCAATCAAAATTGGTTAGTTTTGAAAAGATTTAATAAAAAATTATATTATTATTAATAGTTCAAAATCTAAAAGTAATTAATCTCTCCAACTAATAATATATGTTTTTTTAACCAAGATAATAATAATAATAATAATAATAAATCACTCAAATATTAAATTTATGTTTTACTAAAGAAAAAAATTTGATTTAAAAATATATTTAGTATTTGATAAACTTTTTAAAATTACCTTTAAAATAAAAATATTTTAAAAATTTGGAGAATGAAATTATTTATTTAAATTAAATCCAAAAGAATGAAATTTAAACACGAACATTTACGGAAAGGGAAAGGGAATTAAATCGAGAGAACCGGTTCTAGGGATTCTCCTTATATCTCTGGCGCCTGATTTTCTTGGCGCCTTATTTTCTTAATCTTCACACATTTTCCTTTCGTCATCTTCTTTGATCTCATTCTATTTTTCTCATCGTCTTCGTTTCGATTACAAGTTTCAGAATCAGATCCGTGCCATAGGATCGATTTTAAGATTGAGGTATTTTTCTTCTTCAGATAATACGAATCTTCGTTTCTAAGTAGATTACCCTTCCCAACCGATCGATTGTTTCGCTATAAGCTTTAATCTGGAACTTTAGTGTTAGTATTTGAAGCGAATCGATTTGAGTTTAGAGCGTTTTTTATCTAGGATTTTGAGATGAAGCGGCAGAGGAAATCGAAAGGTGTATCGTGGACTCATGGAGTTGATCTTTGTCGGGTATAATTGCGGTATCTTCTAATCGAAGTATGATGTTATTATAAAATCATGAAAATCTATATACCTTTAATCATAACAAAGCTAGGTTAAGGTTAACGTTCTGTCATTGTTGAGTTTGATAACAATAATTTTGGTCGTTTTGTAACGAATTCAAATACTGTGATTTGGAAGGATTAATTTCTTGCTGCTAATGAAATCGTCACCTTGAGAACAAAAAGTACTATTGAATGTGAATCTTGTGATTAAAATTTTACTCTGTGCAAGCAAACAGTGGGGCTATAAATCATATTACGGAATTAAATCCACCGCAGTCAGTTTGAACGATCTGAGAGACGTTCTTAATGTCACGACAATAAAATTATGGAAGCTTTGAAGATATGATGTTAATCTAGAATATGGTTTGATAGAGATGACGAAATAACAATTCGATTCAAGTGTACAACATGGCTGTGATGTATAACTGAAGCTTCTTGTTACCAAACATTAACAGAAAATTGGAAGTATTTGTTCGTAAGCGGTAATCCAAAAATAAATAAACAAAAGCAGAAAAAGAAGACAAAACAACTAGGTAGTTGCGAAGCAGAAATCATTACTCACTTTAAAATACAAACTTTGTCACTGTTTCTGCCTTCTTTCCCCCAGAGCTGGCATCTTCTTAGATGCTATTGACTGAATACTTATTTTCTACCTTAATGAACACATTCTGGTTCACATATTGTCATACTGAGAGTCACAGGGTACTTGGGAGGCAATGCCTTGACAGGGTGCTGCAGGATATTGATTGATCATTTCGCCTGTGAAATTACTTTAATATGTACTTGCATGCAACTGTTAGAAATTGGAACATTATATGATGTTATACTTATAATTGAATGTTGCAGAATGATTAAACAGATGTTGATATTCAATAGTTAAAGGCTTTCCTTACTGATTTTACTTCCAATGAGTTTGTAAGAGTGAATAATTGTGGTTTTAAATAGGTGAAGCTATTCTCATCAAAGGACTGTCCTTCAAAAGCTGGCCTGAAATCTTCAGATTATCTCGAAGCAGAAACTCCCAGGATGTTGCATCCTTATACTGCCGAATTTAACGATTGCCCTCCTGGATTTGAGGTTACTCCTTCGGGAACCCAATTAGCTAATTTGTCCAGCATCTCTTTGATTAAGTGGAGATGCCCTCTTAAGGTGAGCTCTTTCTGATATTTCTGTTCACTTCACTCAATATGAATTCACTTTAGTGGCTATGTGATGTATGTCTGTCCTGCATCATTTTCGGATGTTTAACACTTCTTCCAATATGTCTGTACAGTTTGTTATGGATTGCAACTGGTGTGTGACAGCAGGAGAGGAAAGTATAGAGGTAGAATCTCAAAAATTGAGGGAGATGAGATTTCTTGAAGTAGTTAATCCCCGAGTGTCTGCTATTCCTTCAGGGTAATTTCATTCTTTTGTTTCTTGACACAGTTTGGAGGATCATTATTTTGTTAACATCAACCTTTCTGATAATGTCTCTCCCTTTCTTTTGCTGTATAGTGCTTCCGTATCTACTGATATTGAGGATGAAGTTTATGATGATAGCTTCACTCCTCTTGTCCCTATCATTCCGATCGAGGAAGACGAGTGCGAAGATTTAGAGCCAGATTCAGCTGCTGTAGGAAACCTCTGTACTACCTCAATGCCTGTTACAGCTTCTAACATTCAGTTGGAACCTGCAATACTCGTACGTACAATTGATACGTCTGCAGGTGAAAAGCCTACTGAGAAGTTACCTGATGTTGGTATGGATGTAGCTGCTGTTGCATCTACTGCATTGACGGTATTAATGAAAAGCATGGAGCAGGGAAGCATGATCAACACCAATTTGCTTATTAAAATTTTCAGTGACCCAAAAATGATCCAGAATTTGGCGAACATTCCCCCAGTATCTGAAGCAGTATCAGGGAGTACACCCCTGGCTACTGCTGCACCAATATCTTTGTCGAAGCCAGTGATCAAACCTTCCTTGTCTTTCCCAAAATCTGATCTGATACCAAAGCTCCCAAATGGAAGCTTATTTAGAGTGTCGAATGGATTCCCATCCAAGGTAGCCACTGCTCTTCCTCAGATTAGTATCATTCCTACATCTGATGTAAATCTAGCCCCAGTCCCCAGCCACATGCCAGTTCCAGATCCCAACAAGGTAAAAATTATGGTACGGAATTCCAAGAACTGTTCTAAAATAGGTGCAATTCCCGCTCAAGCGAACATTGCACCGGTATGTTCAGTAAGAAATGGTCAGCAATGCAAGGATCTTAACTATTGTAAGAACTTGGTGAGACAACATGGAAACCAGAGGAATAGTAAGGAACAGAAACCTGGACAAGATGGAAATAATCACCATCATCGTATTCTGAAAAGGGTACATGAGATGAATGCAGAAAACTTGAGACCCAAGATTGGGAAACAATGCAGTTACTTTGATACCCCAAAAGGGTGTAGAAATGGCGTTAATTGCCAATTCAAACATGATGACACATTTAAGAATCAAAACGCTAAGAGAATGAAAGTGTGTGGTGAAGTAACAGGGATGACTTAATTGGGTTATGCTTCACTATTCAGGATTTTCAGGATGAATTTGAACAAGATATCCACGGGGGAATTTTGAATCTGGGGCATGTATTAGTGGCTGTTTGAGATTAGCAGGGATAATTGGTGTTCCCTGTGTAAATCCTTCAGCAAGAATGTGAATTCTTTGCATACGATTCTATTTGGCAAATAGAACATATTTTCCTTTTTGGTTTTAAGTAATAAAAACAAGATTTTTATCACTTTTTTGGACTTTTAAGGACAATTTGTCAACGTAAAACCTGGAAGATGATAGGTATAAAGTAGATTCTTGTGCATATTCTGGCTATAAAGTAGATTCTTGGTCATATTCTTCTTCACAGAACAGTGTTTTCAAGTCTATTCGGAATACTTAGTTCATTATGTTTTCATTACCTAAATTTCAATCTTGAAGAAGTCAACGTTGTAAATATAATAGCTTCTAGAGGATATGCTAAAAGAAAGTGTCTAGAAGTTGACTTGCGTCTATCATCATTGAGCTCCATGATCTGACAGGACTTGAAGAAATTAAAAAAAAAAAAAAAATTAGGAATCTGAAGTCACTCAACCGAGTGTAGGGTCGGGATAAGGTTGACATGGCAATCTCATTAAATCAGTTGAGAGACTAGGGACTACTTGGACAGTTAATTCAAGGTAGAGACTCTTATTATGCGTAGAACTTGTCGAGACCCATAAATAAACCCTCCTTGAGACGGGCCAAAGCAGACTATTTGTCAACGGTGGGTTGGTGGGTTTGAGCTGTTACAAATTAGAAAAGCACAGATTGAGATGGGTTGGTGGATTTGAGCTGTTACAAATTAGGAAAGCACACGAATGACTTAAGGTGATGAGAAGGTGATAATTCTCATCGGCATTATTTTTGTTTAATTATTTATGTAATTGACTTCCCCAAAAATGACAAAACATTAGGAACCATTTGTAATTCAAGCTTCACTTTTCAATTTCCCTTTTTAGTTATTTTTTTAGGTTTGGAATGCACAAATAAATATTCACATACATAGGGTTTCTTCCTTTAAGAACATCGTGGCATAACCGTCGAGGTGAAGTAGGAACCTAAAAGATCGAATGGAATGATACAATGACAAGTAAATCCCTTATGAATTCCAAATTAGACGCGAGCCCCTCCTCGAGCGGATTCCTCCTTTTGCTCATCAGCGTACCATTTTGAGAGAGTTGAAAAAGTACTATCTCGTTGAAAGGTTCTATACATCTGCCATTTCTCAAGGCAATTCTTTAGACAAAGACTCCGTTTTTTCCAAGAATCAGTACATGAAATTTTGATGAATTTGAAAATCTCAAATATCCTTGATCGTGAGACATATAATTGTCACTATAAATAAGAACCATTCTTTTAAATTTGAATGAAAATTTCCTTATTAGTCAAAATCAAAAACTAGCTGCAGATCATTTGATTGGACTGAAATTTGGAATGGGTCAATGCAACTATTAATGTGATTATTCCAACTATCATAGTCGGAATCATCACTCTTAGATACATTATTTTTATAAGTAGAGTTCCAAGATAAAAAAATCTATATATGATTTATTACTTATTCGCCCTCAGAATTAACGTATATTTTTCATATAAACTTAACATATTTTGTTCATGGCATCTAGTGAGCTCGTCAAATCTCCAATATTTGTTGATCTGTGACATAGCTCAATTCCGAGACGGGAGAGAGGAAAACGAAGGTTTAAAGAATGAGAAAAATCCCAATTGTTTAATAAATAATCAATCTACATGATGGATTTGAAAAAAAAATGATATCTGTAGATACACAAAATTGAAGGTGAGAGTGGCAATTCAATCAATGACCCAACCAATTTGGGCTTTTGCAATCTAGTAATGATCCGGCAGTAGGAACAAGGAGACCAACTAATGCAACAGCAATGGTTTGATATTCAGGCTAGAATTTCGAACAAAGATGAATTTATTTCTCTCTTAGAATGGGCCAACCTTTTCTGATAACGTCATTGATCTTGACATCAATTTGCTTCTGGGTCTTTGGAGGACAGAGGTCTGCCGCGTACCCATTCATCCTTGCTGCCAAAGTGGACATCTCAAGCTCCTCTTCCGGCAAGTTGCCCATTAATTGCAGCAAAAAGGGTTTCCTCTTCAGCTCAAATTTCTGCGTGTTAAACATGTGTCAGTCAGATTTGACATCCATTTTAACCACACGGTGCAGCAACAATTCAAACAATAAAACTATGGTGGCTCAAGATGGGCCATCAATCTGAACTTCCAATGCACTTTTAACGAGTGTAAATGATATTTAGCCTTTCATTACGGTTTATCATAAGTACCATATTTGACGTTTTGACCATTTATTATAAGCAAATATATTGTATTCATTTAATGTTCTAGGACTCTTTTCAATAGAGAATGACACCACTTCATTCTAACCTTTCTCTATCTTCAAATAAGAAAACAGGGCTAGGATAGCAATTTAAAAAGTAGAGAAGGACTAAAGACATCTTAACCAAAGTTGTAACATTTCATGGTGAGCTGCATGTCAAGAAGCAGGAAAGTTTAAAAGCTGAAAGTTCGTCAGGCAATTGCTTCAAATGATTATATTAACCAATGATACTAACCTGATGTTCAGCCTCTGCGGGATAAAATGCTCCAAGTTGCTGAATTTGCGTAGTCACAGCACTTCCTCTCGACTTCAGCTGTTCTTTTTCTTTGCTGACAGCAGCCAGTCTTGATTCTTCAGTGCCATTAGTAAAAATAATAGATCTGTCACAAAAGAGTTGGTAACACCATTATCTAAGGTTAATTATGTTTAAATCATGAGCTAGAATTTATAATATACCTATACTGCTTGCCCACATCAGGACCTTGCCCAAACACATGCCTAGAATCATGACTGGACCAAAAAACCTCTAAGAGTTGCCTAAAACTAGTAAGCTTGGGATCATATTCGACCTGCAGAGAATTACAAAGCATGAATAAATAATTAATCCCATCCAAACACACATGTAATGTAATGTAATGAAACTAACAAATAGCTTTTTTTTTTCAAGAATCTCAATAAATATATATATCAATGGACATTATAAACAAAGGGCAATAAATATTAACCGAGCAATGAATGCGTGTAAAAAACAAGTGGCAAGTGATACCATCCAACAAAACCATAAAGCACCAGAAGTATAAATATTAATGAAAGAACCCATCAGAAATCTGTGACGAACAAATTGGACAGGGCCCCCTAAAATGAACACAACAGTGATAATCAAGCAATTTAAACCCGATTACATTCTTTTGACCATTTGACAAACAAACACGTGGATTACTAAAGTTGGCCACTCTTCAGCCATTTTTAAGATGAATTAGATATTTAAATAGGTAAATGAAGTTGTCAAATGATTTCCTTGCATCTTTATTTTCTTCCAACAACTTCGTCAAACGATTTCTTCTCACCGATAAGAATTTCAGTTGCCGATTATCCTGCCGATGGTCGAAAAACAACAATTCATGCCTCTCTTCAGAAGAATTTCAAGACAGTAAATCCAATCACAGAAGCAAAACAAGATTGGAAAGCTAAATCCACCGAAGGAATGACACGCCACGATGTATTATACAATATAATTGAACGTATAGACAGGATCTACTGAGGTAATGAAGCCCGCAACATCATTCAAAACGCAGGAAATTAAGTAATCAGAAAAATAGAAGATATAAAGGAGCAAAGAAGGTTAGAAGCCGAACCCGTACAGACTCAGCATGATCACCCAAGCTACGATACTCGGGATTCAATTTAGAACCACCAGCGTAGCCAACGGTGGTCCGGACAATTCCATCCAAGCAACCAAAGACGGCTTCGAATCTCCAGAAACTTCCGAGAGCGAAAACTGCGGTCTTCAAGGACTGATGGCTGGATGGAATCTTGCTAGATTCCACGATACGACTCGGACCTCTGATACAATAGGCTCTGCCATACAGCAAAAATACAAGGATGAAGAGGATTGTGGAAATGCGATGCCAAGTGTTCGTCTGCAAAAGAGCCATTACTGTCTGCTCAGCAACACAGGCGGACAGATCGAGGAATTGAAACTTCATTTAAGCATACATGGGCCAGCAGCTTGCTACATTGTTGAAGCCCAGGCTCATAAAATCCACGCAATCTAGAAGTCCGCTACGTTGTTGAAGCCCAGGCCCATCAAATACCCGCAAACTAGAAGCCCGCTATATTGTTGAAGCCCAGGCCCATAAAATCCACGCAATCTAGAAGTCCGCTACGTTGTTGAAGCCCAGGCCCATCAAATACCCGCAAACTAGAAGTCCGCTACGTTGTTGAAGCCCAGGCCCATCAAATACNCGCAAACTAGAAGCCCGCTACATTGTTGAAGCCCAGGCCCATAAACCCCCGCAAACTTCGTTGAAACTTCACTTAAGCATACAGGGCCCAGCAGCCCGCTACATTGTTGAAGCCCAGGCCCATCAAATCCACGCAACAAGAAGTCCGCTACGTTGTTGAAGCCCAGGCCCATCAAACCTCCCGCAAACTAGAAGCCCGCTACATTGTTAAAGCTCAGGCCCATCAATCAAATGCTAATGTTGTTGAAGCCCAGGCTCATCAATCAAATCCCCGCAAATTAGAAGCCCGCTATATTGTTGAAGCCCAGGCCCATCAATCAAATCCTCGCAAAGCTCGCTACATTATTGAAGCCCAGGCCCATCAATCAAATCCCCGCAAAGCCCGCTACATTATTGAAGCCCAGGCCCATCAATCAAATCCCCGCTAAGCCCGCTACATTATTGAAGCCCAGGCCCATCAATCAAATCCCCGCAAAGCCCGCTACATTGTTGAAGCCCAGCCTTTTTTGGGCCGTTCAACAAAATAGAAGGTTAATTTATTTTTTCTTTTGATGAGAAATAGAATGACAGTAAAAATACATTAAAAAAATCATTTTCAATTTTTTTTTTCATATTAAAAATCTAAATAATTAATTTAATAAAATAAAATAATCCATGTTTATTTACAGTATTCTCTTTTTATTAAAACTAGCATTCGAGCAACTTGAAAATATCATTCCAAGACGGGATTATTCATTTAATTTAATTTAATTTTACTTGGATGGGCTTAAAGAGACAAAAGCCCAGAACAATCCTTGGGCTCAATGGGTGAAAAGCCCAGAACAATCCTTCTGATAATATATAACGTAATGAAGCCAACAAATAGGAGGGCAGATGTTTAGGTGGGGAAAACAACCAAACCAAAATTTCAAAATGGAAGCATCCGAACAAAAAAATGTCTTCTCAAAAGTTACAATGGGGGAGGAGATGGAAGTAAAATGAAATGACCTCAGGAACCAAGTCGTAATATAAATTATAATACTGTTTAAGCTTTATCAGCTTTAGAAGCAGTGGCTGCTGCTTGTCCTCTGAGTCTACCAGTTCTCCTTGCAGCAATGAGACCAACCTTTTGACCAGGAGGTGCATCCCGCCTGACAGTGCTAGCGTGTCCGATGTGTTGATGGTTACCTCCTCCGTGAGGATGCTCGACGGGATTCATTGCAACACCACGGACCTTAGGCCAGCAGTTTCTCTTCACTCTAAATTTGTGGTAAGCATTACCAGCCTTAAGAAGGGGCTTCTCAGTTCTACCACCACCTGCAACCTGACCGACCATGGCACGACACCCACTTGGAACTACTTTCTTCGAACCAGATGGAAGCTTGATCCTGGTAGTAATTAAAAATGAACATAAGACTTCATTTGCATATGAAATAGCTGCAATCAACTGCCACATCCGAGGAATGTGCAGTTATCTGTTCATAGCAAATAATTTACGCACACAAATCCTAATCTGTGAAATTCCAACGACCGCATACGGAGAAGCCTGAGGCAGTTCCCGACCAGCATTCAAGGTGCAATCAAACACTTAGCCTATGATGGCGAGAGGTAAGGCATGTTGTTGGCCCACCCTCGCCCATGTATCTGGTAAGTGCCTGATGCTTGCAATATCATTGCTAGGACGAATAACATTAAGGCAAGAGGGGCGACCAAAAGATTCTTATTTCAGTCCGCTGTATATTTCTAACACTAAACCTTTATTAGCATCGCTCCCCCATACCGCCTCGCAGACACATCATCTCCAGACCACACCACTCCAAAACGTGAAGAGTAAACAAATTTTGATCATCCAAGTACAGAATTGACTAGTAACTTAATACCCCATACAAGGCTTCACAAGGTTGGTGCAACAAATTACATAAGACAACCGGAAAAGAATATAGAAACATGATAGGTTTCTATTTGAGATAAAATGAAATTAAAAAAAAAAAAAAAAAGAACAAACAAAAATCATCAGGAACAATTATTGAAGAAAAACCTGGAAGTGTCGTTATCGGGATTGTGGCTGATAACAATCGCGTAATCTCCGGAACATCTAGCGAAAACACCGCGGTCACCGACATGGTGTTCGACGTTACAAACGACGGCACCTTCAGGAATCGATCTAAGGGGCAAGACATTTCCGACCATGAGATTTGCCTTCTTCCCGCAGTAAACAAATTGGCCAGTGTACATACCCTCAGCCGCAACGAACAGTTCATTCTGTTTCTTGTACCTGAAAGGATGGCGGAAGGTAACTCGAGCAAGCGGTGCTCCACGGCCAGGATCGTGAATAATCTCAGAGACGACTCCTTTCAAATAGCCATTCCGTTCGCCGAAGTCAAGACTTCTGAACCTGGCCGGTCCCTTCCGGTGATGGGTGTGGGACTTGAAGACGGATCCCGCTCCCTTACGCTGAGCACGAATAACTCTTCCCATGTCGTCTCCGCAAGGTCGGAGATTTTCAGTTCGCTACCGCAGAGATTACGTAAAAAATCTAGGGTTTAGACAAATTTACATCACACGAAAATGAAACTGGCCGGCCCATTTCTAGTACATAAAAGAAGCCCAACTATTTGGGCTTTTTTAGACTGCGGCCCATATTGTTGCCTGCATAGAAAACGAAACTTACCGGCCCATTTATAGGACATAGACGAAGCCCAACTATTTGGGCTTTTTAGACTACTGGCCCATATTGTTGCCTGCATAATTGGTTGGTAACAAATGAATGTAAATTCTTTTTTAACCTTATAAAGTTGACATTTCATTATTAAGGTAAAATAATATTTTTGTCACTCTCTCCCCTTGAAAAACCCCAATTTTTTTGAATCCATCAATTTTATTATTCAAATTCTTGATTTTTTTTTTCAATTTTAGTTTGTAAATTATTTATTTATTTTCATCATTTAATTATAATATATATTTTAAAATTCCAATTCTATTCATAAAATTTTCATTTAAATTTTCATTTATTTGAATTGATTGAGTTTTTTGGATCATCGAATTTTTTGAACACTCTAGAAAAATACAAATAAACATTGTAAACAAACAATCGCTATAGGCATAGAGTTCGTCCATAACGGGCAAAATCCAAAGATTTAAGTTCGGTTTTGAACAAAAAAGATGTATGGTAGGGAACGCCCCAAGAGTAGTAATATAAAGTCTCCTTAAACATATAGTGAGCCCTACAAACTTGGGGTAAGCCAACCCCATACAGACGTATGGTCTCCAAACTACTTAAAAAGTCTCAAAAGAATGTTGTCCTAAATCATGTCATTTTCATTATCACTATCTTTTTTCTTCTAAATTTGGTACTCTAAATCTGTGGCGAAATTTTTAAATATGGATCTTTAATTTGGCACAACGGTCAAATTTGGATGTCTATTTCTAGAAACATCTTTGTATGTGAAAGGTTTAACCTTTCGGATACCCATTTTATTTTGTTGCTTGTTTTGGGTAGGAGTTTTGGTATAAGTAATTATAACTCGGGACTTTAAGATAACAAATAAGATGCAATGTTGCATTGAGAGACCTTGACTCTAAGTAGAGGCAAGGTCGAGCCGAATAACTTGGCTTAGTGTAGAGACAAGTTGATTGTGTCGCAAACGATTGAACGTGCAGATGCAGGTAGCATATGTGACCAAACAAGTTGGATTTGTATGAGCGCGATGTTCAGTTGACAAACACAAATCTCGTCTAAAGTTTGACGAAGCCATAAAACCCGACGAAAAATGAATGTGGGACTTAAAGTTTCCCTTGAGGTTGGTTGTGAGAATGTCGGAGAATTATAAGATAAGGATTAAGAAGTTAATGAGAGGATGAAAGGTGAGTTAACCAATAATTAAGGGAAGACAAGTAGTCTTATGCGGCTATTGATAGAACATACTTAAACGGGCAAAGCACGGAAGGTATACAATATGCATTGTTTGGTGGAATAATCCACCATGTATGGATATCCCTAGCCCCACCCCATGTGCATTGATTTTTTTTCCTTCTTTTAGGTTCACATTGTGATTTTATGAAATCGAATTTTGAGATTTATGTCTATTTGGTTCTAAAGTTTCGAAATACCGGCATATAACGGTCTAGTATTTTGTTAAGTTAAAGTTAAGTCATGGATCATGGAGAGTCGTTATGCAAACTTGTAGACTAAATAGACATCATGATCAACTTCATACCTCGAATCAGAAGTCCATTACAATGATATTATGTAAAATCAAAGTTCAGTTAGCATCTCTGTACTCAATTTTTGACTGGAAGTTCCACTCTAACATATTAAGATATGAATAAAGAAGCTACTAATTTGACGTCATACTAAATTCCTTTAGGAATGATGTTGACATGATAGGATAATATCAAATTAGGCTTGAGAGAATGCTTAATACTCAACTAAGAATTGAAAGTTCTTTTTTCCATGACAGAAATACGTTTGGCTCAAAATTAACGTGTATGGCTCAAAAGAGCTTTCCATGTGACCAAATAATTGGAGGAAATATGTCTAAGTTCCAGCTCAAGTGCACTCAAGTGAGGTCTTGGCAGCCAAGGCCTATGGTGATCAAGAACAAGTTTGGCCACAGCCACACGATTGGACCTACATGTAAAAACAATACTCCTGCATAATTTGCTGCCTACCAAGTACGATTCATCAGAAGTAGCACAATAATGTCTAACGATGTATTCTTTTTCTAAAGAATACATGATATTATTATAGCTCACCTCGACACGAACTCATACTTTATACTAACTTAAGCTTTGAGTGTATAGAGTCGAGAATCATACCAACACTAGATCATGCTTCATTAGAGTTCACCTCGAGCGACACATTAGTAGTCGCAATTCATTAGAAATTATTCTGCACCGATATTTTAGAATAATTTTAGTATAACCGTACGTAAAACTAAACATCAAATGGTTTGTTTTCAGCTATCATTAATGGTAAATTCATGAAGAACACAAGACAATAAATGAAAGAAGCATAATCCTTGCAAGGCTCTAGCATTTCATCTTGAACCAGCGACCTCAAAAGGAAACAAAAAATAGTAAATATATGCATAGCTTCACAGTTTTCAGATTGCACAACCAAATCTTTACAATATATATAATCAAAGATGGTTATTCCTCAACGTGTTTAAGAAACGGGGGGAAATTATTCCAGAAAAGGAGGAGGGCAAATTTGGCTCCTTCCAACTCCTTTCTCCAATAAATATCCAAACACCAACTTGCAGGGAAAAAAAGAATCCTCTGTTTTGTTTTTCTGCGACCTCATCTGATATTGATCATGGCTGTTAAGGAGCGAAAAACAACCTCTTCACAAGGGATGGTGATGCCCAGATCATGGTTGAAACCAAACTCCTCCTCTGCTCTCTGCAACAGGCTCTGGAACTGTGGATGAGCCAGCCACGAAATCGGGACGATGTACCGACTTCGGTTTTCTCCAACATAGACAGCAAAGTGGCCCTTCGGTACATCATCGGGGAGGCCACCATCTTCATTCCAGCCATTTCGCATGCCAAAGCTCGAACACCTTCGGAGAATATGTCTGAAGGAGGTTGATGGGTGAAGTAGATTAGCCTTTTTGATAGCCATTATAAGAGTTGAAAGGAGTACGAAGTGTCTATGTGTGTTGTTTGTTTTTGTGGCTGGTGGGAGGGAGGGAAAGATATGATAAATAGATACAGATTGATGATGAGAGAGATTCAGTTTGAAGGGGTGGGCTTGAAAGATGTATTTAAGAAGAAGAATGAGAAACAAAATCATGTGAGATGTTGGAGCAAACCACAAACCACAAGAGTTCTAAGCCAATTGTGTACTGCAAGAGTTGCATATGCCAACCCAAGTGGGCCTCCTGGTTACCCAGTTGCCTCTCTTAAGCACACAACATGGGCCCCCCTTAGCCATGGATGAATGTTCACACAGCTTCCACATTCTCTTTTTAAGTTCGGTCGTTGACCGTAGAATTCGAACCTTTAACCTTTTGATAAAAAATAAATGTCTAAACTTGCTGTAGTTCCTCAGTTCATCTACAACTCTCTCTCTCTCTCTCTTTTTTCTTGAATTGGTTCAAATTGAATATCTGGAAACCACATCAAATTCAGGAGGAAAGTCAGAACATTGTATAATGACAAAAAAAAAAAAAAAAAAAAAAAAAAAAAAAAAAAAAAAAAAAAAAAAAAAAAAAAAAAAAAAAAAAAAATCTACAACCTACCAGCTCCAAACCTCTATATAGATTTGAATGTTAATTTGTATCTCACGTTTTCCAATTAAAAATCACTTACAAGCCAATATTTTTCCAAGGTGAATAGGAACAAATTGATAAAATAATAAGGATAGATTTCACGAGTGTTAGAATTTGTCTCGAATTCTGTACATAATAATTCATTAAGGTACTTCAATAGCTTTGACTATTTATTGAGACTCTCCACACGTATAAGTCGGACAGAGTGTGTATTCATTAAATTTGGCATTGAATTGAATTGTATCGTTGGACCACATGACCAGTCTACATCTACGACTCTCAGCCTGTTCTATTTACAAGAAGTGCTCCACAGTTATTGATTGTTCATTTCGTTTGGGAACAACTCATCTAAGAAATACAATTCTTCAGAAGAAAAAAAAAAACTACAAAATATATTTATACGAACACATAGAGATCCTACAAATAGACAGCTGATCAGAAAGTTGGAAGCAGAAAGCAAATATTTCGGGGTTTCCAGAGCATTTTAACTAAGACGTGCCATAAAATGAAAGGCAAAATCGCTATATTACATGTTTTCCACGTGAGAGCCTGTAATTCAGTTTACCAGGAATATTTTTGACAGAAAACAACATTTTCACGAATTCAAAGTTCAAACTTGAGATTTTGGGGAAAATGAAACCAGATTGAAAATAAGAATATTTCAGAAATGTACCTGATTGGACCACCTGTTCAACACAAATCTTGAGTCTATGTATAGACAGAATCCGCACAAGAAGAGGGTTGTTTTCCAATTCTGTCGCCGAGTGGTCCAAGTCCAGGACAAACGATTCTATTTTCGAGCACAAAGTAGGATGGATTTGATGTCAGTACCTTACTTTGGTAGTGGACCATGGAGACGAAACTGTGTCTATATTCTTAATTCAATGCGCACTGGTCTGTCCATTGGAATACAGAAGTTGGTCCTTGAAAGCTCAGCTTAGCACAAGGCGAGGCCACAAATCATCGGTCCTGCAGATGTTGGCACATTTGAAAGATTCAAAAACTGTCATACTCCTCGACTGTTTGTTACCTGTTTACCTGTATGTGAAATGCATCTATAAATGTTAATAGTAAATAATGTTGAGAGCCGAAAGAATGCATGTTGAGTAAAGACTATGTCATATGCTCCAGGCAGTTCCCTTCAATGTCTCCACATCAAAAGACCACCCATGTGGCACTCCAAATGCTGGAAATACACAAGTTCAAGTTACTAGAGAGTTGTAATAGAAAGAGTTTATCTTATATGAGCACCACTCACATATCCAGCCTTACTTTTCTGACTTGCTTCAGTTTCCCATGTTCCAAGGCTCAAAAGCAATCTCGTCGGTTATGATATAAACAGCCCCTCTGTCAATCCAACTAACGTAGGACAGCACAATTAACCTTCTGGTCCTTTCGCATTCTCATCACCCTATTGAAAATTATCAGGGTAAATAGGGAGAGCACCAAACTGCATTAAGCAATTTCATAAAAGCAGGCTTTTCAATTCATTGTGGGTCATACAAATGGGAGCCTTTAGGTTTACAATAATGTCATCAACTAAAGCTATCTGAGCTTGAAATTTGTTTTATTTCAATGCAATGATGGTAACGCAGCAAGAAGCAATAAATACGAGAATAGATAGCCATTATCCATAGAAACAGCTGTCTAAACAATCTGCAAGCAGTATATAAAAGATGGAATGAGAGAGAAGGAAACTATCATTGTCACTAAGACCTGTGAAAGAGAGGCCAATATTACTAAGCAACAAAAGCCAACTTCCTTTTAGCACATGGTGACCCGAAGAATGATGAACATTTCACGACCATGTTTATCATATCAAAAACAAGATTACTAAGCACAAAGCCAAGGTAACTACTCCAGTCTTCGGTGAAAAGGAAATCTTAAACAGTGCAACAGTGTAAGATAAAACTTTTATATATTCTCCTTCAAGATTTTTTTTTTTTTTTTTCTCTCTTCCGGGGGGTAGGGGGGTGGAGGCATCATTAATCTCCTCAGTATAGAGAAAATAGAAAGGAAAAAGGAACTATTACAGCCATGTTATTTTCTCGGTTCACAATTGTCGATCATAAATTATCATCTTCTGGAGCTCTTCTCAAGCTTCTTCAGGACTTCTGGCCAGACCAAAGAGTGGAAGCTGGATCACTTTGATTCAATTACCTGCCAATCTGATTTGATTATAAGTCCAATGAGCTATCCCTGCCAGACTATTTAACAACCTCATATGGAAAGAGTAAAAATGCCAGAGAAAAATGTATTCTTCCCTTGGTATCTTGCTTTAAAGAGGGTGATACCCACAAGTTGACGGAGTTTGAAATGCATGTCCTGGCATTCACATCACCCCAAAAGATGTTCGAGGAGAAGATGAAGAGGAGGAGCTTGACCACATACTTATTCATTGAACTGTTGCCAAGAGGATATGAGAAAAGCTCTGAAAATTACTAATTATTTAGGCTCCAGGTCTTGATCCAAAGCTAAATATTTATGCAGACCTGACTATTCTTTGGAAGATAGCACAAAGAAATAGCAGACTCTCTTAGGATTGGAGATTTTTTTGGAGTCTGAAATTACGGGAGGCTTAAGGTTTGATATTTTTAGCTACTAATCCACGAAGGGAAATTACCGTAACTATTCTTTCTTCCAGATATTTTCCCATTAGATTTTTTTTTCTTTTTCGCAATCTTCTTGACCCTTTGGGTTTTGTAATGGATTGCTAGTTCTTCTTTGCCCTGCGTATTCACTTTCTTCAATACGGATGAGGGGGGGTCAAACCATATGGGTGCTTACATAGCATAGTTGGGCCCTAAGTGAGACAACGATAGTATTAAGAGTGACCCATCCTACTTCAATTAAACAAAACAACACTTTTAACTGCATGGATGCTAAAGAAAAACTATAAACATTGTTGTTTACATTAACCTGAACCATGAGAACAGGCAGGTAAACCTAATTACATGGATGAACTCCATTAGCAGCAGTTAATTCATAACCCGCAATTGGTTTAGAAAACTGAGGTAGTCCATCCATCACACTGAGTTGTCTTCTCAATTTGACAATATGAGCTTGCACCTAGTAGATCAACAAAAACGTCAATATCAGAATCTACAATCTTATTCCTGAGCCTACCAGTAGACTATTGTTCATGAGACCAGAAACGAAGGGATAAGCTTATCATGCTCAATTTAGGATTAACACATCATGTAACCAGAACAAGTACATACTAGAATGCATCTGCCTCTGGAATGAACACATTATATCAAACTTCATAATAAATTGCACAAAAACCCAGAAAATTCCAATGATAAGTGGACTCCAACCTTCCATAGTTTGACATATTATCACACCACGACCAACTAGATGATGAAGACTATCAAAATCAAGGAACCATTGGCAAGATATGATTTAGACGAGAAGGATGTAAGAAACAAGATATTCCTACTTGTTGGCGAGCAGCTGCAAGTTTTAGCAGCTCGTCTGCCTCTGAGAAATTAAGGAACCATTGATTAAGGTGATGATCCTTGGTGTCACATCTCTCCCTTTCTGCCATATGTTCAATTGGTGCTACACATACGAGGTCGTAGAATTAACTTAGAAACAGCAACAGAAGGTTAGAAAGACACAATAACAGACATTTACCAGGATTAGGCAGAGTAAAACCAGCAGGAAGCCAAGGCACAACAATAGCTGGATGATTTTGAACACGAGCAAAATTTTTTTTGGAGGGATCAGGAAACACAATTTCGTTGTAAGATTCCACAACAACAGGTTTCTTTGTTGTTTGTGGACCAGATTAGTCTTCAAGGTACAACTTCAAATGGTGAAACCTATAATAATTTAAAAGAGTGTTACAAATAGGACTTTCCTTAAAGATAAAACCACTATCAATGCCACAAGAAAATAATAACAATAACCAACAAATCTAATTGTTGCTCACACACAACGGTGTGGAAAAAAAGGGTGATGCCAATCTCAAATTCTCCCCAACCACATTCTGATAACTCAAAGGGCAGCGATTCGACCGCTCTTGTTGGGTTGCTAAAGCTAGGATGCAACTGAAACACAACTCTCTTTATCACCACCCCGAGATCCTCACTAGTAGCACCACGCACATAGACTGTCCATTTATGTGACTGGGACCTAAAGGAGAATAAATTCAATGGATAAATTTAGTTAGCCAAATGCCTGAAATGAAGGAGAGTAAGTGAAACAGCCCCTGAAGGTTGGAGACTTACTCACTGGCCTTCCTACCAAGGTAAAATGCGATGGTTCCACAGACTATTGGGACACAAATTTCCATGTCTTTAGGCTTCTTGCTAGTGCTCTACAACAGCAGAAAATGCCTTGAGACAAAATTGGGGCTAGTGCAATGTGGAACAGATTTTTCAAAGATAAACAATTTTAAAAACTCGTCCCCTGATAAAACTCAAAGACTTCGTTATCTATGATGTCTCCTTAAACTACGGATATGCAAAATCTGTCAAACTAAGGATAATACAGAGAAGTATCGAAAATAGCTGCTGCTTCTAAAGACAACCAACAAATCGATAATGAAAATAAAGAAGTATGATGACCTTGGCATCGCCTCCTTCGGAGGATTTCTAGATTTTGATGCGCGGTGGCTTCGTACCAGATCCGCCTTCGTCGGCTGGTGTTTCACCTTGTTTTCTAGTAGTCATTTAGCTCGATCTCTGTGAGTGTTGACCTTCAGACTACGGCAATTTGATCAAGAAACGGATGACAAATTTGTAATTCCGTGC